GACTGAAACTGTCCAGTAGATTTTGCTAGAGAATTGTCAGTATATCTGAGCAGCGTTTCAGTGAAATGGCAGTAACAAGAAGTCAGATCACAGCGGGTTGAAGATTGAGAAGGAAATAAGGAACTGGAGCCAACAAGTGGCTATGCATCTTTCAAGAAGCTGAGATAGAAATCAAGAGAGGAATGCAGTGGATGGAAAGAAGGATAGAGTCAAAGGTTTTTGGCATTTTTCCTCCACATGGGAGAGATCAGAACATGTTTAGATGATAAAGGAAGAAACCGTAGGGAAAGGTTGGGAAGCAGATAAGTAATAAAGGCAGAAGAAAAAGCACAGGAATGGAGACTAACTGTATTCAGGAGAAAGGACAAGTGTGCATTGGGAGAGAGGAAAGGAGGAAAGTGGTGTGGGTAAGTCTTTATTGTCTCTGTGAAGGAATTTGAAGAAGTTTAGCCAGATGACTCCTGGTCATACCACCTATTTACCTGGATTGGTAATAATATAAGACAGTTGAGACTATATGATTCCTGAAGTCTATCATGTCTATGAGGAGTTTCATCAAATAAACTTCATCACAAACCATACATATTCAATTATAATTCCGCTACAAGTTTCATTGCTATATACATTTTTTTCTCCTACAAAATTAAAAACAAACAAACAACTTTCTCCTAATCAAAGAAGTTACAACATCTAGGATTTTTCATAGGTACTTAGGTTCTAAATAGCAAGTAAATGAGATTTATATCATGCACATCCCTAAAGTTCTTTCTAGTATGAATGAAAGAAAGACTATTCTATCTCAATGGTCCATGAATTTCTTAGGTTTGGAAATCACAACTTATGTGTCACAATTTTTGCAGTGTGTCACCCAGTGGCTGGCAACTAAATATTTGCTGGTTGAATGAGTAGGGTATTACTTAACTATATGTAACAACTAGTGTTATAACAGCTATTTCTCAAAAGAAACCCAAAAAGCTAATGTACAGAGTGCACTGAAATGATAAACTCACCACACTGTTATTTTAGACCATCATCTAAGTTAAAATTTCTTTTTATATTATTAAAAGTATAAAAATTGACCTTAATCTGACTCCTTTCTATACCAGTGTAATTGGAAATTTTATGTCATATTTTTTACTTTTAACTTGTTTATAACTTCCAGCAACTAATTCCATATGTGGAAGAAGATGGCTCAAAGAATGATGATCGAGCTGGCCCACCTCGTTTTGCTAGTGAAGAGAGGCGAGAAATTGCTGAAGTAAATAAAGTGAGTGATTAGTCTGTACATTTGATATTTCTCTTTTCAAATATGAATTGAATTAATATTAAACATTAAAGTCTCTGTAAATTGCTTTTCTGTTTCCAATAAGAATTTCTTGGTCCCTCTTTTTAGTTACTTTCTCCCTGTTACTTTAACTCTAGATAGAATTAATATGAGCAGTTTATGTAATCTTGGTTTGCTCTTTAATGATATAAAAATTAATGATTTTAGGCCTCTTTATACTGAACATGTACTACTTTATGTGGAAGTATTTTAATATAGTTTCTTTAAAATTATTTAAGTAAATATATTATTTCCAAATGTAATGTTCCCAAAAGGTTACTGAACAGTAATGCTTCTTATTATAATAGCTAGTAAACACTCACCAGAAGTTCTCTATTTTTATCTTGTTTTACCCAAGCATACATTTGCCTTATAGGATTTGAGGAAAGGATCCTAAACAGTATGCTTTTCAGTGAATATTTGTGGACAGAAGAGGGCTGAGGTCTTCTGCTTGAAGGAAATACTTAGCTTAATTGTCTGGAGTCCAAACTTAGGACATTTAGTCGTTTAACTTCATGGTCTATATTTCATTTTTGATAAATTCTTTTGTTTCTCCAGAAACTCAAACAGAAGAATCAACAGCTGAAGCAAATTATGGATCAATTACGAAATCTCATCTGGGATATAAATGCCATGTTGGCAATGAGGAACTAAACTGATATTTACATTTCCTGCTTTACACATTATACCATTTTTTCCCCTCAAGTATTCTTCCCTTTGAAGAAGATTATTTATCTGTTTGTATTCCAGTCACTAAAACTAAAGTTCTATTTTTACATTGTGGTTTTACATTAAAGTAGTCATTGGCAGTCTTTTGTTTAAGCTATTGATTTTGTGAAAGATTATAATAATAAACTTTGACAGGGTTTGTGTTTTGGTTAATCTTTGTGAAATGAATAATTGTGTTTTAAAAGCAAAGTCATTAAGTTTTGTAGAAAGATTTTAAAATTTGATCAGTGGGTGTTTTGGTCATTTCATTATGCTTTTAGGAGAAAAAAGTTTAAACATTTTTGCAGATGAAAATATCAAACTGGTACAAATTAATTAAAGTTATATAATTTACCATTTCAAATCAATTTTTTAAAATTCCCTTTGAGTCCTAAACAAGTTAAAATGAGAAAAACAGTTAATTCGTATATTGCTGTAAATAGATGAAAATTCCCTTTACCATGTTTTTCCAGTGTTTGGTCTTAATTGGAATGATCTGACTCCAAAAGGAAACAAACATTTGGGGATGGCGCAAACTGAAACCACGACTGTGTGCTTGTTACCTGCTTTAGGCCAAGGAGCAGTTCCCTCTCTGAGTTTTCAGGTGCACCCTAATATCGATTGCATTTTGGAAACAGTACATTTTTAAGAGTTTCAAATGAGATCAATAGCTCTATATGACAAGTGCCTTTGTAGACTAGTAATTGGTCAACAGTAAGTTCTTTATAGGTCTGCCTACAGGCTGGTTGCCCAGATTATAAATATCTTCAAGTAAGAGAATCAGATCTTCCCAGGAAGGACTTTTCCAGCCTGATCCAGAAGCCTCTATCCCCAGCCCTGGGTTCCGACTCCAAGAAATACTGCTATTTGACTTTCCTTATGTATGGATCAAGTTTCTCTGGAAGGTTACACAGGAAATGGCTCCCTCCGGGGAAGGGACCCAGGTGGTTGTATACCCTTTGGTACCTTTGGAATTCTACTGTATGTGAAAATATTGCATATTCAAAAAATAGGAAAATTTCATTTTAACCTGTGCAGATTCCCACCTGTAACGGTAGCAGAATCACAAGAAGAGAAGCAAACCATGTGGGCATCGTTTTACCCTCTTAACTGTACATTTGTCAAAACAAGCTCTCCGAGAAGGCCATGTTAGTCGGCTGGGAGCTGATTGCCCAGGGTGGGAAGCACTGTAGTCACAGGGCAGAAGGTAAAAGTATATGAAGCTATGACAACACAAATTAGGACCAATAACTCAGTATACCCCTGTAGTCTGTAGTATTTAAGGATATTACAGTTTATTTAGCTATCACCAGTTGGACAACTGGGGTTTTATAGGTGTTAACTAATATGTTCTTTGTACAGTGGATTACTGGTCACTATTACAAATTGAGTGGGTACTGACAACTTCTAAAGCAGTTATAAAAAATGTCTTAACCTATTTTTTAGTTGTTTCAATTATCGCACTCAACTCCTGAGATCATTCAGTGTGGAAATTTCATCATTTGGGCCTTGGTTCAATAAAGAGTATCTCTACTGTGGAGCACTCATCAATGCAGCTGCACTCAGCTAACAGAGCTGTAGCCCCAAATTCTGGGAGGTGTGTTTTCAGCCCTCAGAACTGACAACGGTTTACCCAGTCACTCACAAGTCTGCTTGGGACCAGCTATGAATGCGTTGGGAGTTATTAAAAACACAAACTCCACTAACTCAAAGTTTCAGTTTTTTTCTTGAAGCAGAGCATGCCAATAGATTGAAGAGAAAAGAAATAATTCAGTTGTGATGTGTGGCCTTGGGTAAGTTAATCTCTGTTTTCTTGTCTAAAATGATAGGTGGAATTTATGAATTTGATGTTGTATGTTGGAATTCTAGTTACAAATGTTAGAAACCCATTCAAGATGGCTTAAGCCAAAAAGGGGGATTTATTAGTTCCTGGAGCAAGAAAGGAGGCTTGAGAAGAGCTCACAATCAAAAGCTGCAGGCACCACGGCTTCAGGAATTGGAACCCAGATGTAACACCCCAGGTTTTCTATGCCCACCCCAAATTTCCGCTTCTTTCCCTTTGCTCCATTCTCTCTTACTGCAAATAGGCTTTCTCCTTCCCCTGGCTTCCCTTCACCCCTTTTCTGCAGGTGCCCCAAAGGCTGGGTTACGCCCCCACGGTAAACTGAGAACTCAAATGGATCCTGATTAGCACAGCTTGAGCCAAATAACCAAAACTTTGGAACAATTGTGTAAATGGGTACTATGGTTAGACTGTCCTAGACCGACGTTATAAACCCATCTCTGTGGCCAGGAAGTGGGTGTGGGAGTCATGGAAAAGCTGCTGACCAGGGAACACAGGTTATTAGAAAGAAAGGGCACTAACCAGGAAAATTCTCAAGAAAAACAAACAATGGCAACCATACTCCACTGATGTTCTTGGTTATACACTGAGTGGCCAGATTATTATGACCACCCCATCAGTACTTCGTTGGGCCACCTTTTGCCTTCAATACTGCGGCGATTCTTCTTGGCATTGACTCCACGAGATGTTGAAAGGTGATGCGAGGAATCTGACACCATGCCTGATGAATAGCACTGTCCAGTTCTGTGAGATTTGATGGTTGTGGAATCAGCTGCCTGATGACTCTTTTAACTTCGTCCCACAAATGCTCAATTGGATTGAGATCTGGTGATTGTGGGGGCCACCTAAGCAAGGTAAAGTCTCCCTCATGTTCTTGAAACCACTCCTGCACAATATGAGCACCGTGGCATGGCGCACTGTCTAGTTGGAAGAAGCCATCTCCATTGGGATACGCCATCAACATGATAGGTTGAACTTGATCAGCAACAATACTTAGGTATGTTGTGCTATTCAGATCTTGTTCCACATGAATTAAAGGACCCAAATCATACCAGGAAAACATGCCTCAAACCATAACACTGCCCTCACCAGCTTGAAGGGTTGTACTCATGCATGTGGGGTGCATGCTTTCATGCTGTTTCCTCCAAATTCTCACTCTGCCATCTTCATGATGCAACTGAAAACGTGATTCATCAGACCACATGACTTTTTTCCAATGCTCGACTGTCCCATCCTTGTGTTCCTGTGCAAATTGGAGGCGTTTTATCTTGGTAACTGCAGACAGAAAAGGTGTTCAAACAGGCCTTTGGCTTTCATATCCCATATGATGCAGTGTATGGCTAATTTGCCTACAAACATCAGGTGGTCATAATAATCTGGCCACTCAGTATATAATACTATGTCAGATATGAGGTATTCAAGTCTCAAAAACAAACAAACAAACAACAACAAGAAAGGATTACCAAAAAACAAATGCATCATTCACTATTATGAGAAAACTAGAGGCCTGGTGCACAAAAATTCACGCACTCGGGGGCATCCCTCAGCCGGGCCTGCACCCTCTTGCAGTCCAGGACCCCTCAGGGATGTCCACCTGCTGGCTTAGGCCCACTCCCTGGGGATTGGGCTTAAGCTGGCAGACATCCATCTGGCAGCCCAGGAGCCCTCGGGAGCAGGCCTAAGCCGTTGGTCAGACATCCTTAGCACTGCAGAGGAGGCAGGAGAGGCTCCCAGCACCGCCACTGCTCTGGCCAGCCATAAGCTGGCTTCTGGTATAGCAGCGCTTCCCCTGTGGAAGTGCATTGACCACCAGGGGCAGCTCCTGCATTGAGCATCTGCCCCCTAGTGGTCAGTGCGCATGACAGTGACTGGTCGTTCCACCACTAGGGTCAATTTGCATATTACCCTTTTATTATATAGGATATTCATTTTAATTTTTATGGATTTGTGAACCATGTTGACATTTTTTCTTTGCAGCTATTTTGTTTGTTTTGCGCTATTTCCATTCATTGCAATGTGATCTTGTCAGGTCTTAGCACAGATAGGAAAGAGCTGGGGAAAAAATAAAATGAAAGCACCAGCATCCTGGTAATGACATTACCTTTAACATGATTTGGAAACTGAAGGCCCTGATCATTGAGACATTAGATCCCTTGGCACCATTACAAGCCAAGATGTGTTAACTTGACATTTTGATGTAGCTCCAGTTTAAGTAATTCATTTTCTTAAATTCCCAAAGAAGTTTAAGCTAGATAGAGGAATCTTTCAACCTTAAAATAAAATGTGTGCTTGTCCTAAAGCTCAAAGAGTTTGTTATCCTGGGTGTTCTTAAATTTGTCCAACAAACTAGTTGCCGTAAATTTTTTCTGTTCTTTTAAAACACGAATGGACAAAGGACTGATTTTTTTTTAAAAGCCTAAATTAAAGGTATTCTAGATGTTTGTGTATATATGTATTTTTTAACATGGTAGCAGTCTTGAATGCTTCATATTTTTGTAACTTAAAGAATTAGAGTTAATAGATTTAAGTTGATATTGTTTATATTTTTACATGAAGTTGACATTGTGCACTAAGACATCTACATCAATAAATGTTACACTGATGGTTCATACTTATTTTCCAAAAATTCTTACTGCCATCAATATGTAATTTGCATTCCAAAAACTGGTAGAAAATTTAAATCTATATTTTCTCTGTCCTTTGAGGTCTTACTCTACTATGACTCCTGTATTAACTTTTCCAGACATCTTTTTGAGGCAATACCCTTCAACTTCAGTGTGCACAAGAATCACTTGGGAGCACTTTGGAAAATACAGAAGTTTGGATTTACTGCTAATGTACTAAATCTGAATCTCTAAGGTGGAGTCTAAAATCTGCACATTTAATAAGTTTTCCACGTGATCTGTCACTGATGCAGAAAAATATTATACTATGCAGTTTAGTGATAGTCATGAATGTATTAATATAAAAAACTTCAAAAATAGCAATACTATATAAAATACAATGTATTATGCTTTACGTAGAGTTATAGCCTTTTGAGTATTTACAAATAATACTCTATGTCAGCAGTTGTCAAACTTGGCTACACATTGGAGTGGACTGGGGAAAGGTTAAATTTCCCTATGCCAAAGCCACACCCCAGATGAATTAAATCAGAATTCTGGGGTGGAATCCAGATATCAATGTCTTTGGGAAGGGGATGGTTTATTCTCTTACCTTTTTAAAGTATTCTTTTTGGAAAGAATGCTTAAGTTCTATTCTCTTGGCAAATTCCAATTATTCAATACAGCAGCGGTTCTCAACCTGTGGGTCATGACCCCTTTGGCGGTCA